GGGTGCCAACAGCCTTAGCTACCTAGTCCTTTGTTTCTACTTCTGTAGGAAAACACTCTAATAATTTTTCAGTCTACCACTCCTAGGAGAAATCAGGCAGGTTATGTGGCTTGGATTTCAGTTACATACAGGATTTCCTTGACTTCATGGCCTTTACAGTTTGGCACATTTGTCCTCAATTTTCTTTGCGTGGCTTAAAAAAAAGAGTGTTGTTCACTGAGGAAAATGGGAGTTTGCCTTCCCTGTTGAGTCACCTGGAGAGATTGCTGCTGGAAAAGGGTTGGATCATCTTAAATTCGAGATTCTTTGAATACTGCTAAATACTTTGCTACTCCATTTGGAAAGATTATAAGCTGCCATGCTGACTGACTGTGACATTCATTAGAGAACTTTCTGGACAAATACAGTCAGTGAGACACAAAGGTTTAGCAGTATCATTTAAATGCTGTTAAGGAGTGTTGAATAGTCTTGTCTTTCTGTCACCATCTTTGGAGGATTTCATACAGCTATGGGTAATTCTGGGCTTCTTGTTGGGAGCCAGCCTGAGAAAGGACCCCCAACAGGTTATAAAGGGGCAGAGGTACTCCTGCTTTTATAATAAATGTAGCTGTGTAATCATTTGGTTAACTTGTTATTCAACCAGTGCAGAACAGTCCTTGGCCTTAAATCCAGCTTAGCATCTTGATACGTTTCAGTTGCATAGTGCTACCAGTGAGATGACTCTCCTTTGACATATTCAGCCATTTGGAAACTTATTTTATGTTCAGAAACTTACTTGACGTTCAGCAGGAATGTTAGAGTATGCAGTCATTTGAAAAAATAAAGTAGGGATTTGGAGTTAGAAAAGAATCTGGTTGTCTTCTGGCAAGTTTTTGGTTCTGGTTATCTACAAAGTATACACCTCTTGTCAGGGTAAATAGGGAGTGCCTGTATAAACATTCTTGTTTCGCCTGTTCCACATAATAGTTTCTTGTATCATATTTCTTTTGACCTCACTATCTGAAACCAATTACAGGAGATCCATTTGGACTGCATCTATTTTCATAAGAAACCTAGGCAGCAGTGTTTTTCTCAGAGATGAATATCAACATCAAATATCCTTCTGAGTGCTTTGTTATTTATGTTTCAGAGAGATTTTGTAGCCTTCAGCTCTCAAGAATGTGTCACGCTGTGCTGTTTATACATTGACGATATTAATGGGCGTAGATGTCATTTTTCATTTTAACGTCTCAAATGCAACAGGCTGATAGGTTAAACATTCCTGATTTTAAAGGAAAGATATGAGTGACATCTGTTTCCTAAAAATACGCGTATATTTGCTTTTCAAAAACCAAAGTAATGTTTACCATCTTTTAGTGACAGCTTTCACTTTATTAAAATGATAAAACCTTAAAAATAATTTGAAGTCATACTTATATTAAATAAAAGTGTTTAGAATAAAAAATTAAAGCAAGTTATATCTCATAGTATTATTGCCAACAAACTGCAAAATCTACAGCAATTTATCAACTTTAATAGGGTAAGTTATATGCAATTAATTTTATTTTTGTTCTGCTTATGTTTTAGCTATGCCAAAGCTGCACAGTAGATATTAAGAAGTAGTGTTCCCAGTAAATATTTTACTAGAAGACACAGTGAGTTCTGGAAACAATATGCCCAAATTTCCTGCTTATATAGCTATTACTTAGAGCATTATAATGATTTTCATTTGTGTTATTAAAATAATTTCTAATCCTCAGTTCTTTTTATTGCTTTTGTCTACATTGACTTTTTTTGTATAGTTTTGCTAATTTAGATAACTTAATTAAGGAAAAGTGCCTGCTAAATTTGAAACAAATGTTACTGGAAACTAGATATGATTTTGAGTGCCTTACAATCTGTTCCTTCTTCTCTTAACTTGAGGTAGGACTCAACATAATTTTGATCTGCCAGATTTATAAGCATTTGTTAGTTTGTCTTAATTATATTGTTTTTAAACCACGAGTTATTATCAAATTAGTTCATAGAATTTTATAAATGATACATAGGATGTGTGTTTACTTGAAGTTTAGATGTTTATGAATTTTGAAAGATACTTTCAAGTTGTCGATTTATTTGCAAAGATTTAATAGCAGCAAATTAATTGGTAGAACTAATGTTTTATAATCTCATAATCTTCAGTTATGAATAATGTCAGTAATAATACTTTGAAATTAACAGTGTGTTTCTGGGAGGTTGTTTACTGAGTAGCAAAATGTAAAGTTAAGCGACACAATGGGAGAAAAAAGTACCATATGATGACTTCTCTAAGAACAAAGGCTGACAGTGATTTCTCCTTATGAGTTTTAAATCATCTCTGATCTCTTGAAATTGTTTTCTGTTCTTCTTCTATCTCCTGTGTTTACAATAATCTAAACTGCCACAATAAGATCACTGAAGTATTCAGGTAGTCATCATTTATAAGACATTCTGTATTAAAAGATAAGCCTTTACTCCTTTAGAGATATCCCAACTAGCACAT